GAATACATAACAGTGTCCCTACATTTCTAGCCAACTTCAGCTTCTCATGTAAGTCCATGTGGTTCTAGAAGTTTGCTGCATTAAAATAATGTAATATTGTCCGTTTGGGTTAGTTCATAAAGAAATAGTACTTGGATTTTTTAGCGTAAACAGTTACATTTGGGATTAGCGCGCATTTAGGATAAGAGGTTAGAGACTAGATCTTGAATTGGGATCAGAATTGGAATTAAAATGAGGTCAGGATTAGTTAAACCAAGGGATAGGGGATAGGGGTAAGAGGATAGGGCTTAAAAGCTATGTTAGGGGACTAGGGTCTCTACGGTCTAGGGTTTAGCTTCTAGGGTCTAGGGTCTTGGATCTATGGTCTAGAGTTTAGCATTTAGCGTCTAGATTCCAGTGTTAAGCGTCTAGGATCTAGGGTTTCAGATTTAGCGTCTAGGGTTTAGGGTTTAGCGTCCAGGGTTTAGCGTTTAGCGTCTAAGATCTTGGTTTGAGTCTATGGCCTAGGGCCAAGGGTCTAGGGTCTCTATATAGGGCCTAGAGTCTAGTGTGTTAGGGTCTATGGTCTAGGGTCAAGGTGTAGGGTTTAGAGCCAAGGGTCTAGGTTGTCTTGGGTCTCTCACTAGTCTCTCTCTCTGGTGTCTCTAGGGTCTAGAGTCGAGTGTGCAGTACCAGCTAGGGCGTGTGCCATGGTGTCAGACATCTATTCTAGTCCCGTCACAACACGTCACGCTTGACACCACAAAACAAATTTGTACCATGGTGTCAGACATCTACACTAGTCCCGTCACAACACGTCACGCATGACACCACAAAACAAACTCCACCCCCCCCCCGTCCTATTTGTTGATCAACGCTCCAGAAAATTAAACATCGATTACCGTTCCTGTTGCCCCCGGCATTCACAGTGAGCCGCCCGCTGGCCCTCGACTCATGTCCTAATTCAGTTGAGTACTCACCACTGTCGCGCGTGTAGGTGAGAAAACACCTCACTGCGTGAATCGGTACCTGAATTAAGAGTTTATTTTTAAAAGATTTCCGTTACTTTAGGCCCAGTAGGGTGTCGCTTTGATGGTTTTATTGGAACACAATCCCAGTAATTAAAGTATTAGATTTAGTTATTTTAATATTTGTTTTTTTTTTAAATTTTAGTTTGGATTTTTTTCGAAGATTTTTTAGGGATATCGCCCTTCCAAAACCCAAACCGGTTTTAACCATCGGTTAACTGGTTTCGTTGTACATGGTTTTTGCCATCATTTCATGTTTACCTTAAAAAGTGTTTTGTCTTGTTTCAAATTTTAAAGCAAATCATTGAATTTCACGTTAGAATAAGCCGTGAGTCCACTACAACGGAACGCGTTTAGTCATTATACCTCTTATTTCCGCTATTCTTTGTAAATACTGCATCATACAAGTAATGGAACTTATGCTCTTTGTTTTGTACCGTGTATTATATAAGTGATGCCTCATATATACGCTTTTATGTATCAAAACAAAGTTGATTACATTCTAGTACACATTACAATGCATCCTGTACATTACATTATGCTTAAGGAAAGCTTTCAGCAATACGTATGTCCTCGTATTGTGTACATGCTGTGTGTCTAAACAGCATTAAGTGTACAAACTTTGTATCATGAAAAGGTAACTGTAACATCTGTACCAACGGGACAGCAGTGTACAATATCTGTGTACCAGGTACATAATGTACACAAAGTCGGCATTCTCATAAGCTCAATTGTATATCAGCTCATTGAGTTTTTTCCACCGACCAGTGTTTCTTTCAGAAACTATTCTGACAATTTCCCCCACCCCAAATTTCCAATGCTCCTCCCATGAAGTTTCAAATGACCCCCTCAGATGAAACATGTATGTCCGAAAGAAACCCAACTCAGCCCCAACTTAATGTACCCCCCTGAATCACATCGCCACCCCGTGTGTCACACCATCCGATCACACCATCACCTAGTATGTGGTGCCTCCTCCCCAACCCGATCACAACAACCATCATTTATCCCCACCCCCACCCCCACCCCATCCCCCCCCCCCCCTGTTCTGAGCCCCACCAAAGTGGAAGTGGCAGCCCGCCACCAATGATCGACCGCGTCAGTTGCCTGGTCTAAAGGGACCCCTCCCTCCCTCCCCCTTCACAGTTACAGGTTCTGACAACGTCATTAAGATACGACGCCGCTGCCCAGACGCCGCGTCACGACCGGGCGACGCCGGAGTTAAAGCCGCGCTTATGCCACGTGGTTAAGACCGGTGGTCACGTGATTGATGACGTCACGAGACACGGGGGGGGGGGGGCTTAAAGTGAGCCTGCAGACCCCGGGGGTTGGAGAAATCCTGGGGATCTCCGGCTGTACAAGGGGGGGGGGGTCTGATGTCTGACTTTTCTTGAGGACAATTTTAATAACTTAATGGTGTTTAAGAGGGGGGGGGGGGGGTGTAGGGATTGTAATATTTAGACATGAGTTTAGTTTTTGTGAGGAGTTGGGGACTTACCTAAAAATTAAACCTGGTAATATATGTAGAGGGGGGGGGGGGTTGTGGAAATTTATATTTTACTTGTCTTAGCATAAAGATTTGTTTATTAATGGGGTTGGGTGGAGGTAGGGGGGGGGGGGGAGGATCGACAGTTTGAAACTTGTCTTAATCGAAAATTTAAATTTCTTAATAAAGGAGGGGGGTGTTAGGCATCAAGGTGTATAGTGTATACCATTATCAGATAGTGCTGCAATGATGTATACTAATGTACTACTTGCTTATGTCAACGTATACCATTTTCCTAACCAAAGTCCTAACATAACCTTAGTCCCAAATTAAGGCGCTATTACTAACTTTGATGTAAAGTCACGACTAACAATATAACACATCAAGTTTTGGACTAACAATATAACACATCAAGTTTTGGATAAGTCCAAAATGGTGACAGGGTTTCAGAGGACATGCTTTACCAGACCAGATAGCTTATTTTCAAATCAATTTTTAACTGGTAAAATGTCACAGCTATAGCTGGTTAACTGACACAGCTGTAGCTGGATAACTAACACAGCTGTAGCTGGATAACTAACACAGCTATAGCTTGTTAACTGACACAGCTGTAGCTGGATAACTAACACAGCTGTAGCTGGTTAACTGAAAGTGATAGCTGGTTTACACCTCAATCTATAGCTGGTTGACTACCACAGCTGTAGCTGTTTACCAGCCCCAAATATGACCTACCAGCCAATTTACTGTGTATTAATACCCTCCAAGCTCCCCCCACTGGAAGATTAAAGCCATGTCGCCCCAGGTAACCCAGGTAAGTTCGATTTCACCTGGATAAAAGGTGGGACCCGGTGCCACTCATTAACGCCCTCTGTTATCACTCACTTGTTGGCGTGTCGCCGTATGTGTGATGCGGTAAAGCCGCCAACCGCTATTAAACTGTTTTTGGTTCTGTTATGATCAGTGTCAATGGGCGGTAGGAAGGGCAGTGATCGCGATAATTACAAAACAGAATAAATAAAATAAAATAAAAAACAATAACAAAACGAGGGCACTGGTGGTGATAATTATGAAAAAAAAAACAAAAAAAAAAACAAAAAAACAACATGCTGATGCCTGGTAATAATTTTAGGAATAATTAATGATGTAATATTTGCAACACACGACACGGGGGATAAAATTTCTGCCTCATACGGCCATTTATTGTAACGTCAATTAAACTACAAATGTATGTTTTAAAACTTGACACCATAACAAATTATCTCTCTAACACACACATTATCACACACTTTGTTACCCACACACACGTTATCTTTATAACCCACACATATTAATTCTCTCACACATCATATTTACCCACACCAAAGCTTCATCTGTATCCCACACTAAATTTTCTATTTTCCACACACACAATGTCTACCCCACACATAACCAGTGTGGAGCATTTGAGTTTTTACGCAAATGTCAACAGCGAAATTAATTTTCGCGTTTTTTTTTTTGGCACTATCGCTGTTAAGATATGAGTTAGAATTAGGGTCTAAGTCCAATTACAGCCTTAGGATCATAGACAGGATTAATGTTACGGTACTGAAACACGCAAAAAAAACCCCAACAACTTTATGATTTTGTATAAGTTACGATATTGACTTCGCATCATACTGTTACATATTAACATAATCTTAAAACTAATTAAATCTTCTCATTCGAGAGTTCTCAATACCCACCCCCTCACTTAATTAACTAAATACCACAACTCAACCACAGCTATTAAAACCCACCTCTCCAACGTAAACACAACTAGCTATTACATAACAGTCAACAGAACGGGAAGTTGGCAAAATGATCATTCACCTACACGTCTTCTCACCTATGCTGGCACAGAAAACATTTTCTACAACTGGGTTTCTTGTCTCACGTGATAGAAAGAAAGTGGGAATTGATGAAATTTTCGTTCAAATAAAGGAGGATGCGAATAAAAAAAATAAATAAAAATAGATAATGGATTTCTATAGTAATACATCACAAAAATTAAAAGCCTGCCTCACGAAAAGAAAACACGGGCTAATAAATAGACTTTTTGTTTTATAGACAAATTTCGTTGTTTTTAATATTTTGATTTATTTAAAAAAAAAAATTACCAGTTAGTGTTCGTATGAAGCATGAAAATACTGCATCGGACTCGATTTGGCCTTGTCGAGATGTGTTTGATTTAAATGCCGGTAGTTTTGATACTTTAATGGTTAGGATTAGAGTTGAGGTTAGGAAATACTGCTGATTAGGTCGCTATTGGCGATATATATGTATGTATATATATATATATATATATATATATATATATATATATATATATATATATATATATATATATATATATATATATATATATATATTTTTTTTTTATTTTTTTTTATTTTTTTTATTTATAGACTGCTAACATCCTATCCACGTGAATCCCCACTGTACCAAAATAAAATGTAAATATAAAGATTAGCAATGAGTAACGTCCCTACCGTGAATCGATAATCGTAGCCTTAGCACAGTAGGATTACAAATGTGTATGAGCCATCCACACATACATACATCCCGTCAGTGAAAAGGGTTATTAATCCACATCAACTTTGAACCGTTCGACTGGTAATCACAGCACCACACGACCAACAACTCGGGGAGTGAAGCGGTTCGGTCACCACGGCCCCACCTTCTGAGGGGTGGAAACTGCACGCGCTCTGGTCTACGTCCTGCGCGAGGAGACTGCGCGGCGGGACACGACAAGAAGCGCTCACTCTGAACGTAACACACGCACGCATACTCTCTAACCCGGCGTCTTGGTTAGAATGTCCCGCGTGTGGATGGTGGTGGGGGGGGGGGGGGGTCTTGATGTTGGTGCTGTTATAGGGGTCTGTGGCTACTAGGTGCCAAGGGGGATGGGGTGGGGGCGGGGGTGAGAGATGAGTTATGGACCTTGCTTGAAGATAATTTGTTTATAGATGCCATTTGATTGGGTTCTCTGTTAAGATAGTGCGTCTGTCTAAGTGGTGTTTTGAAGATGTAAAGGATGGTGTTTGGGAATCGTAGGGTTCGGGTATCAATAGATAGGTGACGGTGGGTTGGTGTAACAAGAGATAGGTAGGGGTGGGTTGGCGTATCATGAGATAGGTTGATGTGGGTCGGAGTATCAACTGGTAGGTGGCGGTGGGTTGGCGTATCAAGAAATAGGTGGGGGTGGGTTGGCCTATACACAGATAGGTGTGGGTGGGTTGGGTTGGCTTATCAATATATAGGTGTGGGTAGGTTGGCGTATAACCAGGTATGTAGGGTGGGTTGGTGTATCAAGAGATAGCTTGCTGCTTATTAGAACGACAATCTAGAGAGTACTCAGACGTAAGCAGCTGTTGTAAGCGACTAGCGCACTACAGAGCTGTAGTCTGAGAAATCAACCACACGAATCAATGATGTCACTTTTAAGCAATGTATTCTAATCTGAAATCTGTTTATCTTTTTTATGCTCAGTTATTCGCGTATTCACTGGGATAATTTTACTGCTTATGACATTACTAGTTTTTACTACATGACAGTGACGATGCTCTTTATTTTTCTATTTTCATGACGTCGCTAGACTGCATGTATAAATAGTTATTGAGTCCTGATTTCACTGACTCCACACTCATGTCCATGACTCCATGTTGACGTCACTTCCGAGATACATATCTCAGAGGATAATGACGTCATTAAATTGTGCTCCACCAACTTTCCATTAACCCTGATATAACCCGCATCTAACCAGCAATTGTTTTGATAAAAATGCAAACCAGCTGGTCATTAGGTAAAAATCACATGAAAGAACTCCCAATAATCTTTCCATTCTAAGTATTATTTTTCTCTAAACAGGTTGAATTAAAGGATCGTTTCAAGACCCTTTGATTAGCTTTAGATCTATTGTTGGTTGTGATGTGAGTGTTCTATGATCTACTTGAAACTTGCCCATATTTTTTTAATCAAAGAATTACACACACAGGCATACAAATATATTTCTTAATAACTAACATGTTTATTTATAAAAAAAATGTTTGAATAATATATGCAATTTTTGTTATTTTTTTCTAAAAGAACAAATTTAATTAAACAAATTCTCGATCTAACAAACAGTAAAAAATAATTTCAACCTCAACATATGGCTATTCGTTTTTTTTTTCTAGTTCTCTCTTTCCCTTTTGTTAAAATCATATGCTGGTTATTTTCAACGATTTATTTGGATAAAATCAGAAAATGCTAACCAAAAAAGAGTTTGCCTGAAAAACATTTTTCGGGCAAACGGCATTCGGGCAAGTGTCCATTCGGGCATTTGTCGAATTCGAGCAAGTGTCCATTCGGGCATTTGTCGAATTCGGGCAAGTGTCCATTCGGGCATTTGTCGAATTCGGGCAAGTGTCCATTCGGGCATTTGTCGAATTCGAGCAAGTGTCCATTCGGGCATTTGTCGAATTCGAGCAAGTGTCCATTCGGGCATTTGTCGAATTCGGGCAAGTGTCCATTCGGGCATTTGTCGAATTCGGGCAAGTGTCCATTCTGGCATTTGTCGAATTCGGGCAAGTGTCCATTCGGGCAAACGGCATTCGGGCAAACGGCATTCGGGCAAACGGCATTCGGGCAAACGGCATTCGGGCAAACGGCATTCGGGCAAACGGCATTCGGGCAAGTGTCTTTCAGGAAAACGTTCGGCTCCCATGTTGGGGCAATATACAGCTAATTAATTGGAGACATTTTACTGTGATTGTGGGAGATATTTAACCAGATGAGTTTCCCTAATTCTTTGACATCGACATGTAAAAGTAGTCGAATCACAAAGTCCAGATCTTGAGCATAAAATTAAAACCCCACCCTAACATGTCTAATGGCTTCCATGCCATTACATACTCTGGACAACAGTTCACCACCTCCTTATATTCTCTAGTCCACAATTCGTCACCCAATTATATCCCAGTTCCATAGACCACCACCTCATTACATCAATGCTCCATGTATTACCACCCCATTACACATCCTATAAACGTATCTTTACCGCATTATATCCCCAAGTAAACTAGCAGTCACCCCACTACTGCTCCAGGTAAATTTTACTCCACCTTACTAGAGCTGTTGATAAACTTACATTCTAACCGCCACTGTAATACACCCTTAGAACTAAGACTATGCATCAAAACACCAATACACACCTTTTCACAACTATATAAATCTAAAGACTGAGATTATCACCTGGTTAGCTCACCCACTTACTTGCCCTAATCAACTGATGCAGCCCGCATCACCCCTCCCCAACCACCCACACAATCCCACATCGCGACATTTGTTCGCCTGTCCCGACACCACAACTCAGCTTAAACAATTTTTACATTACATAAACACGACAAACTAAAAAACAAGATTAAAAACTAGCATCAAACGGGCGCGAGACAAATCATAATTTCATTGTGGTCAAAAATAAAACCCAATAAATAAAGCTCTTTGGGCAATTAGGATGCATTTGTGAAATGTATTTAACATGCATAATTTAATTCGTTTAATTATCAAACTGTAAAAGATTGGCTAGAATGATTAAATTAATTAATTTGATGACGTAATCGGCACTGCAGACCTCGAGAAATTAGTTTAGGTTCGCGGCAGGGCCAAAAATTAATTTAGTTAATTACATTCGGTTTATTAATTGTACTCAGAGACCGTGTGGTAATGATTGTCGTGAGCGGTGTTCTGTAGGTGAGCAGAGAGGGCTTTGGGGCACGGGGTGTCCCTCAGGCCAGGGGCGGGGGCATAAGTGTGTGGGGGGGGGGGGGGTCGTCAGAATGTGACGTCATATAACTAGTGGCATAGAATGAAATGAGGGGGGGGTGCTGTCTTTGCTATCTACGTATTACGTAAAAAGAGGGGGGGGGGGGGTATGACATGACAGATATTTCGCATCACATTAGGGAAAAAAATTCATTTCCCTGGAAATGTTAATTTTCTTTCAAGTTGTGGGTTCTAATAGGAGAGATATAAATAAATTGTAAAATTTCTTTTTTAGGGGGGGGGGGGGAGGAACGTTGAGGTGCGGGGAAAAGGGGTAGGAGAAGGTGGGGGAGGAGAAGGAACGCTGGGGTGTGGGAATGGTGGGGGGGGGGGAGGCTGTCAGGCTTTTAGCCACGATGTCATTCGAAAGTGAGTAGTAGAAGAAGTAACATGACTAAAATTCCGTGGACGTCCCATCCTATCGCAGATATCAAGGACACGGTCTACGAGTAATATATGGACAAATTATTCCCAATCGAGAAACATGCACAACGTTGCATTATTGGCCGGCTTCTGATTAGATCAAGGTAGATTAACTCCAGCATTTTAGAAACTGGCATTCTTGAAATAATTGGCATTAATATAACCGGCTAACAAAAACAAATGCAATATATTTTTTCTAAATCCCAGAAAAAGGTAGATAAACATGTATTTATAACAGTGTCAAATATCTTTAAAACGCACAAAATATTTACTAAACACTTGTGTTTAAAGCTTCGAAATTTTCAACGCTACATGTTGTTATTGATTTGTTAACTTTCATAATGTGTCCTTTAAGCTCATTCGTTTAGATCCATCAGAATTTAAACTCATGAGCATCGAGAAAAAAAAATTATCACAAGACAGTAGTGGCCACTCGTGAACTCTAAGTGACACAGTTAATCGTCATCAGTCATTAAGATAACGAGCTAAGCAGGTAATTAAGTTCCCAACATTCCCAGCCACTTCGCGAGATAGCCAAGTGCTACTTTCTTCAGAAGCAACTTCAGCATCTCGAGAAAACACTTCGCGAGCCATCTAAGTGACAGCTTACGAACAAGACAGAATAAAATGGTGTGAGGCGCTACAGAATCCTGGGCGACTCTAGTTGTTAAAAAACTAAGGACGAAATGATTGAACTTTAAAAAAAAACCGTTTCTAGATTCGGAAAACGTTTAAGAGCTTAGAGGTTTGCCTTTCCCAGACATAAAAAAATATCTGGCCATATTTTTTTCCCACGTCAAGGCATGTCTCTTGAGTGTAAGACAAGCTGGCAATTAAGTTTGAAGTGGTGGTCGTAATTAATTATCGCCCTCGTTGGCATTTAAGGCGTAGTGGTTCGGTGTATTTTCACTTATTAAATACCTCACCCATTTTATGATTAAGTAAATCAAAAATATTTTCTAGTTAGTAAATAATGTGTATATAGTTCATTTTTTTTTTCAAAATTAAGGCACACTAGTTTTGCACTTAATTTAATGAATAACTAACCACTGGGACAATAAGTACACAGCACCAGATTTTTCAAAAAGTGCGAAGAAAAAAGCTAAAATAAATAATTTTGGTGTGTTTTCTTGTAAGTTTGTTAAAAAATCAAATCAGCTCAGTGGTCGGAAAATGAACTAATTAAAGTCTTAATTAAATTGTCGCATGACTGCTTTCTTAACGAACCTCAGCTCAGAGAATATTTTTATACCCGCAAATATTTTTTTAAAGACAGCTGTAAAGACAGTATTAGAGAAAGTTTTAAATGAGAGTTGTGAAGACAATTCAAAACAGTTATAAAGACCCTTACGAAGACAACTGTAAAGATAGTTATAAATAAAGGACGGGTCTAAGATTAAGGAAGATGTTAAAGATGGTAGAACACTAAAAGGACTGGGGGGGGGG